TATTGTGGCCTTCTAAATGCCGCGCCTTCCTGCTTCTAATCTTACTCACTCTACATACATACTGAATCAACAGCGCCATAATAGCCGCGACATTATTCCTCTTGCCAACCAGATCAAACATGGCTTCCACCGACACGAACCTCACCACGCAGACGAAACCTCCAAAATACAAGACCCGGCTACCCATCAGGTAAGCTTTTGATTGACACACGCATACTGTAGAGATCCACTAACGGCTCGCAGTACGGCTACGAAGGATGGGTTCGTTGTCCTCGAGATCGGCCCACAGAAACAGCGCTACCACTTGCACAAAGCCCTCCTTACACACCATTCGGAATACTTCAACAATGCCCTAAACGGCCCATGGAAGGAGGCCCAGGACAAGATCGTCACTTTGGAAGATGTCGATACCATTGCCGTGGACATCTTTGTCCACTGGCTGTATACACAACAGATTCCAAACAACGACGCCACACTTAAAATATCAGAAAGTTCCCTAGACCCCAAAGATGACGACGATCCGATGACCGCTTATACGAAGGCACTAGTGTTCGGTGACAGATTTCTAGTGCCTGTCTTTCGCCAAGCTATCCATAATTGCATAGTGGACACTTTGCTTTATGACGAAGACGGTTCCCCTCGGGAGCCGACTTGTTTCACCGCAACGAAGTACGCTTACGAGAACTTACCATCGGATCATAGCATACTGAAACTATTCTTGGATTTCCATTGTCGATACTGGGATGTGACAGAAAATGGCGCTGCTGATGTGGAGTCTGCAATAGCTGAATTGATCGGAAGGGACCTGCCACCTACTCTACTGATTCGCATGATCGCGCGATATTCTTCAAGAGCCGCGGAAGCAACCGAGATTGGGTGGGAGGCGGATTTGAAGGGCTGCGATTATCACGAGCATTCCGATGATCAAGAGCGTAAGAATTGCAAAAGGAGGTTACAAAAGGCTGGTCAGGCTACGTGAAAAGTTCCGGTGTTTCTGTCTTAGTCCCAGCTCGGCTAGTACGCGACAACCAGGGAAGGTTCATGCATCATGTCAAAGAAGACAAGATAACAACACGGAAAGAAACAATGGCCTCTGTCAGGCTCCATGTGTACGATGGACGATATGCCGAGGCCTCAAGGATACCCGTAGCTTTCACATCTACAGTGCTGCAGGTCACGCTTCCTAAAAAAAAAACAATGCTAGAGGCCCTCAAGTTCCTTAGCTATATTTTATTGTATTTCGTTATTCTACGACATCTCCTTATACATATCCACCCAAAACTTCTGCCCCGCCTCGCTGGGCCCACCAGCTCGCATTTCTTCACAGTCTTTGTGCCCGCAGATGATACTAAGAGATTCCATTCTACCATTTCCGCATTTCTGGACCTTAAGGAGGTACCGATCGACAGCCTCATCAGGCGTTTGATCGAGCGGGCAATTAGGCGTACGCTTCGCGACCTCCCACACTTGTTCGAGCGAGTACTTCAACATGCCGAACCGTCTATCAAAACCACGGTATTCTTGAAGGTCTTTCACACCGAAGCGATTCAATTGGTGTCGCTGCATATGGAAGAGACCAATGATGTCGAATCCACAGATCCAGATGGTTCTTCCATTAGCCGTTTTGAAGCGCTCGGGCGACGGGACTGAGACAACCAGCTTCTTTAACAACGAAGGCGCATGTTTTCCCGTGGCATAAGGAGGAACTTCGTCCGATGGAGGAATCGTGGCGCGATACCCAGCTTGCTCGTTCCATTCAAGTAAGCCCCTTCGCACGATGTGGTCGTCATCAACGTCCTTGCAGGCTTTCTCGGCGGTCAGCATCCATCTTAAGTAAGTGACGCAATTGTCGTCGCTTTTATCGCTATCCAGCTGCTGTAATGTGCGCCCAGCATACCACCCAGTTCTCAATGCGTAGCGGTAATAAGGATCGGCTTTGATCAACTGGCCCATCTCGGAGTCTTCGTCATCGATGTATTCCTGCGACGGGTCGTATGCTGCTGAATAGCGCGTAGACTGCCCTGGCTGCCCGTGGCTTGTCTTTGCTGTTCGCTGGGGCGGCATGGCTGACTGTTACTGCTTGACGGCAAACGAGAATGAGTGGTATGATGCGAAGATGGTCGTACTTATGTGAAGGAAAGCCAAAGAAGGAAAAATAGTCCGTACAGCCCGTAAACGGAGGTGAAGAGGTGCAGCCTTAGTGCATACGTTGTACTTACCCCTTGCGCAATACTTGTTTGTTAGAGAAGCGTACACTAAAGGACATAGTACGAGGGTAGAGGTAGACGCAGAGGCAGAGGTGGGCGTAAAGGCGACTTTAGCGATCGTCACGTGCTTGACGTGCTAAGCCTAACACAGGCGTACTAACATCTTAGCAGACTTTCGTCCAATAAGAGACGAGCTTAATAGGCCAATAAGAAGCGATCTTTCCGACAATCAAAGCCCTAGAGGAGCAACCGCAATATGCAGCTAAAGCTGCAACAAAGGGTGAGATCTCGAATCTGTGCCGATCCGTTCTCTTCATAAATATCTTACAAAGGACATGCCGGTCATACTGAAACGCATGGCTCATTTAGATAGCAGTAGATCTGAGACATGTCTTTGATGCAGATAAATTGGTTGTGGGATGGTAAGTGCTATTCACGCAAAGAAAAAGCTTGTCGAACGCGCTGCTATCTACGTTGGTTTGCATGTTAAAGTTAATGAGACATCAGGTTGAAGAGGCAGGCGTGCATCAAGGCAGTATTTTATCATACTCAATACTTAGAAAGCAACATCATCCCAAACCCACAGGCAGATCGTTTCGTCCTCTAGGCTTCGCAATCCCACCGCAAAAGGAAGGAAACAAGGTTTTCTCTATAGCCAAGATCGACGAAAGAGGACCGCGTTGAGCGAGAGCGGAATTATACAACACGTATTCGCTGGATATGTTCTTGGTCCATCCATGACCGGTCTCGCTCAAAGGCAGCGACTCCAACTCGCTCGTAGACGTCACTGCCCTTTTCTGCAGTGGTAACAAGTAAGCCATAATGGGTCAATAGACGGCCGTCTGATATATCCTGCATCCCCAGGATGACACATTTCAGTTCACTGGATGGAATCCATTCAGATAGTCGGCCACGATCGAAGAATACACGATCATCGTACTGCTTGTAGAAGTCTCTGGCGTCGCCATGTAGAGCCCTCGGGGTATCACCGAAGTGTTCACAGTTGTTGAATGGTGATTCGAGGTCCGGCTTCCAGTCCACAGTGCCAAATGGAATATCCATGAAGCATATGGCGCCCGTCACTGCCATCCACGACCATGAGAGCACCCGCCTATTCTTTGGATAGTCGATCTTGATCATGTCTCTATTTAGATCCGCACGTCGCCAAAGAAGTGTACGGCGTAAATAGCTGCGCTCCTTTGGATGATCAAGAATGCCGTGCTGTGCCTTTCCGAACAATTTCGCGAACCGTGATTCGATTCCGGCCATACCTAACGACCTATCTGTGTAATGGGTAAAGTCAAGTCGGGAGTATTTTTCGTATATCTCTTCGAAGAAAGCGATGCGCATTCCTTTGTATCGCTTCAACATAGCATCGGGGAATTGAGGGTCAGACAGGAAAGACGTCTTGTGGCTAGCGTAACGATGAGCTTCTTTCCCATTATAGAAGGGTGTTGGTTCCACTTACTTGTATAGCGTTGTCAGCGTTTCGCACCTGATTCCTGTTCCACACTCCCAATAGACTTGAACTTCTGTGAAATGAATGATACGCCGCGATAACGCGCGTTCTTGAAATACCCATCCTCTTCTACTCAACGCCGAATGCTCTACATCGCGTTCGAAATCATCGATCGGTTCGCAGAGATAGATCATGTCTAAGCTACCCGGATGGTTGGCATAGGAGAGGGGGTAGTGAAGTCTTACTTCGCGATCCGCTTTCAAAAAGCCATCGTCGCTCCCGTTTGCACAAGTCGCCGAAAGTGTAACGTAGGCACATCTGAAGACATCGTCCATCTTCCTAATCTCCGCTCGCAGATCCTCCTCATCGTCTTGAATGATACAAAGCGCATCTACCCATAGATATCGAATTCCGAGACTTCTTGTAATCTTTACGGCGTCTTGAAAGGTCCGCGGTAGCATCTTGAGATCAAGATGACTTTGCCAACCTTCGAGCTTGCTACGACTTAGGAATTGGAAACTTCCATGTAACGACGGGGCACCCCAACGGTGTGTTAAAGCCACGTATTTGTCATCTTTCCTCATGTTGTCGCAATCTAGACGCAATGTATCTGAATCCCAGCGACCTCGATCATCGTGATTTCCTCTTGGATACAACTCGACCAGTCTGTGAGGCATAGTTACTCTTGTCGGTTTGCATTCGTGACAGAGATCACACCATTTGATCCACCTCTTCAGCAATTTGACCTGGGTAGAACTTCCAGGGCCCGGTAAAACTGGCAAGCCTCTCTGATAAGTATCCGGAAACCGATTGAGGCCTGTTTTCGGTATCAGTAGTGATTCGCAGCAATAAAACCCACAACTTACCGGGACTTGGACCTATTACTAACGAGAGTAATGGAGGCTCCCCCCTTCCCAAGGTCAACGAAGACCCCTCCCTTAGCACCATTTTGTACCTGTTCTCTCCAGTCGTGTGGTTCATCGCCATGTAGGTGACGGCGCACAGAGAACACATTGCACGAGATGCTTGTGCTCCTTCGTATGATACTACGAACGATCCTCCTGAGAAGATGCCCGTTTCAATGTGCGAACAATTCTGACATAAAGGAGTCAAAATCGGGTACATGGGTGCGAGCCTTTTGAATTCGTCGCTGTCTAAAGTGCCGAAAACGGTCTTTGCGAAAAGATTATCGAATTGTTTTGTCCATATATCCAATGCACCGGGTATTGCGTAGGGATTTTTCGTGTTGGCAATTCCGCCGTTTTGTCGTCGCTGGTAATACAGACGTACCAGATCGCGCGATTTCTGCTGATGACTTGACATCAGAAAGTTGCTCATCGATTGCCGGGGGGACCATTCACCTCTAGGCGAAAGTTGGATGTCGACAAAGGCATCAGTAATTTGCTCGGTATCGCTGGTCCTCGCCCGTTCGGTCCGCTCATGTTGACCCTCGGGTTGTACATGTAGTAGGGAATGCCGTGAGTTGTCGAGCTGATCCTTGCAAGTTCCCTGCATGCATCTTTGCCCTTTGCTCTCCCTGGAATAGGAGACGTGTGTCCGACATCTGATGCAGGCGTAATGTAAATGGGTACTTCCTCGTTGTCAGCGGATGGGTGGTAGATGTCGCTTGTATCTTGCTCTGTCGAATCTGGCACCAGTAGCCTGTCTCTTACGAAGATCAAAAGCTTTCGTAGGGCAACACTGTAGCATTGATCTCCGTCTGCTAGACATGTGTCGGTCATGTGTTTCATCCACGAAACCACTACTGGATTAGTGGTACGATTTTCGCTGTCGCGCAACCAGAAAGCGTCGAACTCCTCGGGGAATGCCTGCTGACAGAATTCATCAAGTTCGCGAATGCCGTAAACTAACCAGATTATCCACTCCAGGATGATGCAGCCCATGCCCCACATGTCATAAGACCTGGAGATCTTTCGGCCCACCTCCGGAGGCCTATATCTGAGTGTTCCGCCTGGAGATGCTGAAGGCTTATTTCTTGCATGTGTTGGCAATGAGTGTATCTTGGCCAGACCCAGATCTGCGATCTGAAATATTCCACGGTGCGGTCCCGAAGATCGAAGAATATTCTCCGGTTTGAGATCTCCATGTCGACCGTTCAGAGCAAGCCTAGACGGATTGTTGTGCCACTGATCGAGTGCTGCAACAAGTCCTTGTATCTGTTCAATACTCCAGCTTATGAGGTCTGCATCTCGAGACCAATTCTCCTCGTTGTTCCAGTACGACCGCAAGTTGCCTCCGTCCGCCCACTGGAACAGCAGGTGGCTCGTGAAGTTTTGCCTGAAGCCGCCGACGAATCTCACGATATGTGGATGCTTCAATTGCCTCGCCAGGTCTAGCGCATCGAGTTCACTTTGATCGGCACCGGCTTCCTTGTTTCGCAGTTCCTTGATGGCAATCACGAGATTGCCCTATTGCTGTCAGCAAATCGTTGATATGCTGAGATGAATATACTGACCGAACTGACTGTTTGATGAGCATGGTGTATGGTAGCCTTGTGTAACAAGCTGAAACTGCCCCCTTCACCTTGAGATTCGCATGCGATAAAGGGCAATCGGCAGTCTCGGTGTAAGTTCTCCATCGTGCTATCGTTCCTGAAGATTTGGGGTAGAAACACCCATTGCTCTTTACAGAAGAAATGTTTCTCCTGTGTCCTCCATTTGTTAAACCACTTCCACGCGGAAGAATCTCGCGCAAAGCCGTTGAGAGAGATGAGACGTGGCCCTTCAAGAGCGATGGGAAGGTATCTGTCGCCGAATTCGAATCTTTCTAGGTTGACAGCCCTGCGGACCGCGTCTCCATAGACTAAGGTAGCAAACGTTCTTCGCGCGTACTTCGTAATGTACTTGACAAGTGACGAATCATATTCCCCGAAAGCAGCTTTGTCTAGCTCTTCTTTGATAGTATGTTCGGTGATTAGCGATTCAAAGTCGTCCTGAGGGAGGAAATCTTTCTGAGAGAACTCGCTGTACGTGAAACGGTCGACAATTGCATCGTACAGCCCACATTCCTGGTTTCGGCCCATGTCGTCATCGGAAAGCTGTTACAATACGATATCAGTAGGCTTCGTCTTGTAACCGTAGATTTTCACCTGAGACAGGAAAACCAACAAAGTGGAATAAGTTCGTTCGTACATGCTAGAACTTACCGACATGCTGCTGGTGGGATGTTCCAATGACATCATCAGACGTGGTGCGACACAGCCTTGAGGCAGTGCGGAAGGCGTAGCAGAGATTTGCGACGAAACAGCGCACAACGCGTGGAGACTTGTAGTACCGGTCAGTTATCGTAGTCGGTAACTGGCTTGTTCTCCTGACACAGGGCCATCAAAGCGATTTAAGTAGGTAGCACTATGCAGCCTCAAAGTCGGACAACAGAAGGTTGAACTGGACGTCAGCGGGGAACAAGTCCAATCGCAATGCGAGTGATGGCAGCCTCCACCATGTATGTTGACTCCTAAACCACCTACTGGTGAAATGTAGAGCATACCTATGGCGGCTTTGGAATGACATTCACCGGTAAGAAAGCATACTGACTGGCTTGAGTCGTTTGGGACGCTCAGCCCTGTATGTAAGTAAGATTGTGCCACCGCGACAGCACATCCATATCCTGACTTGTATCACGATCGACTTGAAACCTCAAGCCTATGCGCATAGATGATTTGACGAGCGCGTATGCAAAGCCGTCTCGGAGTTACAAAGTCTGACCGGTACAAGGGTGGCATATACCTTGCAGCATCCTGTTTTGTTCAAACACCACTCTTTACCGACCATTGGACAGGGCTATATGCCGCTGATAGGAGCCAGGGGACGTTTAGTCTGACGCTCGCAATTGCCGTATGCAGCCGGCCAACGATCGTCAACGCCCCCGTCCAGTGGAACGTGCATAGTGTTTGCACGGTATGAACACATCGCGAGGCAATGCAATGCATGGTTTTCGTCACGCTGCGAACGAAGACCACCTCAGTAGTCTTGTCGTGATTTGTCGGTGTTGAGCCTCATACCAGCTCACTCAGAGCCCAACCGTCATCGCCGCGATCTCGACCGCTTGTCGGATCTCGCTCATCAGGAAGTGAGGCTCTTTATCTTGTTTAAATTTACCAAGCGGAGGACTCGACGCAGGTATAGTTGTCGCGGTGAACTTGCGAAGTCGAGATCGTATCGCACGGTTTCCACATGGTGTAGAATTCATTGTCGTAGACCGAGAGGATTTATCGATACGCACAATCGCGCGGAGAGTGGAGAGATAGTAAGGCTCGGATCATCTTCGTATCGATTCGTCTCGGACGCGCAGGCCTCTGTTCGCGGTGCTGGTATTGGTTGCGCAACCGGTTGATACAGGCGCTTTCAGTCATCACACCATCGTTCGGATAATCAGAAATGCAGTCGACGGCTGCTGAGTCTTGACCGGAAACCGAGGTGGTGCGATACTGCAATGCATGAACGGCACAGAGACGAGTTGCCGGAAGCTGTGGTTGCGGGTTGTTGGTGGTAGCTGAACACGCGCGCGGGGTGCGTGCAAGCAGCTCGGCCCGGGAGCTGTCGCCCCACAAATCTCGCGATCGGGGCGCCGTAGGGCTACTCGTTCGACGCACGGCACGAGGAATGATGGGATGATACGATGAGAGCGCTCGCTTTGATGAAAGCCAGGTTACGTGCATTCGTTACGAGATTACTGGTATCAATGCTATGTGTACGCTACTGACAGTATGCCTCCGCCGTTTGCAGAGAGATTTCGAAAAGAAAACAGCCATCAAATATGCATGTGCCCTCGGCATTCCATGCATACAGTAAGCGCATCGATGCGTGCCTACTGCTTATCGTTTTGCGAGTAGATGAAGTTGGCAGCAACAGGCACGAGGCCATTGTGCTCAGCCCACTCTCGCACACCACCACCCTCCTTCCCAGTACCCCAATGCTGGCGATTCTCCGGCTTACTCACATGGAGCGGCTCAGTGGTTCCGTTCTTTGGCGCAAAGACGAGGAACACGTAGCGATGCTTGCCTGTCTTTGGCGGTGGGCCCGGAGGCTTGTACTCCATCACGTCTTCCGGTCCGCCGTCAGTCGACTCGGTCTCTTCAGTAAGGCCAAACTCTGGTAGTGGTAGGATCGAGAACGTGTTCGGCGCTGTGGTGACGTTTGCCGCAATCCAATGGCACATCTCAGCCCATTCTGGGTTGTCGCGTGATGGCGCGTCGGGGTCGGTCAGTGTGACGACGTAGCTCATGTCGGAGGTACTGTGCATTCCGTCCGGGCTTGTGTCATCGTGCAGAACTATGGTGGGCTGTTCTCCCAGATAGTCTGGCTCGATGGTGTTGCCGAGTTTGGCCTTGGCATCTGACCAAAGAACGGACACTGTGAGACTAGGCAGGAAATCATCAATGACGGTAGGAATTATCTCAGCGTGTTGAAGTCTGTGGAAAGTTAGTGCGGTGGTCGCAGTTTTGACGAAACTCCTCACTTTGTCCGAACAGCCTGGACGTTCTTGGGGCCGTTGAGTATCAATGGCCTCTGCTCAGTTGGTAGCGCAACGGCGCAAAGCGGCAGCAGGCACGTCAGCCCAATCGAAACTTGGGAGAACATTGTGCTGGTGAGATATCTGATTGTCGATTTAGGGATGATCTTTCACTGTCAAAGTAGCTTCAAGCCTCGTCGTTGTCCCGATTGGGGATGTGCAGCGGAGTGTTGAGATGAACGTTATCGCGTGAGGTAGGCCCTTATGTGGAGGAGTCTCCACCCAACCTGGTCGTGCGTCATTCGTACCTCAACTTATGCAGATCCACAAACGTTCGGGGAAGCTACAACATGATTGGGCACCGTCGATCTTGCAACCCTCGGACAGCGCGAGTCATACAGATGTCATATATTGATTGTATTTCTGCTAGGCTGGTGTAGCTCTACGGGTATTCGGATAGCACGCTCAAGAACAAAAAAAAAGACAGGAAACCGCCAACGTAGAAGACATGTGTCGCTGAATCAGCAACCCTCAAAATGTTCACAAATCTGTGCGTCGCAGAATGCACTGCTGTCTATCACAAAACCCATGTTCTGCGAGACTTGATACTCGGCAAGCTCCTGAGCTCCTCGGCCTGTCATGGTGCCGGTGCAGTCGCGAAGCAGAACACAGTCCCATCCGTAAGAGTAGGCATCTGACACGGTGCCAAAAACACATTGGTCCGTGTTAACACCGGCGAAAAGGAGTGTCTGTTTGCCGGATGCGCGAAGGTACTCGTGAAGAGGCTCTTTCTCGGACCACAATCCACTCATGCGTGTCTTGTCGAAGAACAAATCGCCAGGTTGAGCGACTGCCTTGAACGGGTCGTAGAGTTCGGCGTTCCAGGTCCGCTTGAACAGGCACCTTCCCTGACCATCGGGTAGCTGTGCGCCAAGTCCGACGTGCCATCCTAGAGTCTTGCTGAAGCCTCGCTGGATAGCAGGTGCCATCTTTTTCAAGTCATGGTCGCTGATTCCCCAGTTCAGCCAGGCAATTTGGATCCCCTCTTTACGGCATCTTTCGATGACTTTCAGAGTCGGCTCGATAGCGGCTATGCCTGCGGCGTGATCCCGATAGAGTGGGTGAACAAAGTAGTTTTGCATGTCGACAACGATCAAAACTGAGTTGCCAGGGTCAATCATGAAGCCGGTGTGGTTGCGATCTTCCTCATCGCACTCGAAGACCATCTTCTGCTCCGAGCCCCGAGACAGATCGAACTTCTTGGTCGCAGGTAGGTAAAGCCATTGTTCATCCCCTCCAAACGGGATAGGTGCAGTGCAAGTGATAGTCCCCACTGTAACGTCGTTCTGCTGTTCTTCGGTGGTAGTAAGAGTGAGAGACTCCGGGGCCATGGAGGCGTCGGAGATGATGAGAGCGAGGTAGGCGAAGGCTGAAAGCGGCGAAAACCCAGGATAGATTTAGGGTTCAAAGTTGGTGTGGAGGTGTGAGGATAATCAGGAAGGGGGAGAAAGAACGTGAAGAAAGCACGCTACCTTTGTAGTCGGTGTGCGAACGCTCCTGCTGCGTTCCAAGGTTTGTTTGCGGTGAATATGATAACAATGCTTATCACAATGATAGGCTTCCCTCGGGAGGAAGCTTGGTCGTAAGACAATGAATCAGTCATAGCAGTGTAGACCCTATCAGCTTATGCGGAGACGGACTTCCGCAGGGACTTGGAGGCTACATGAGCCTTTCCCAATTAGTGGTAGAGTACGTCGAAGCGACCTGACGATCACAATGCATTCCCCAAGATGCGGAGATAGGAGCTGGAGATCTTCTTTGATAATTTGGTGTTGTCGCGTCTGGCCGCGTCTCGCAGCAAGATAAGGCTGGAGGACTTGATAGATAGCCGTCGCCTAGTACAAGGGAAATCCCGGGGTCCGACAATACCCGAGCGCGAGCCAGCGTACGCCAGCGTGTCCATGGTACTTTCTCAGTGACCAGAGGGTGATGCGATCCTACGTGGCCGGACTAGGGGAGTGTAATCCACATATCCTCGAGAAATCCTAGGCGACTCGTGCGCCAGCTGTGTTGCGAAGGCAGCCAGTCTTATGTTGTCCATATCCAATGCTGACCACGGGTCGTGCATCACAGGCACTGCTGATGCTGCTCATGTGGTGGAAAAGTCTTGTCCTGTTACTCATTTGCTCGTGTGCACACTCTACATACGGTTTGCTGCAGCCTGTACACCATGTCCGGCCTTGGAGCCGAGCCGCATGCTGCATCGCGTGTGGTGGCGTTCGCAGGGCTCGCGACCAGCAGAAGAGGAGGTTTCAACAGCCGTGTGCTTGCTTTAACAACACGGGGGCGCGTGGCCACATGGCTGAGGGTATTGCCTCCTTTATGCGAAAGGAATGAACAATATGACCTAAGATTAAGGAGACATGTGAATGTTGAATGTGGGGTTGGCTGCCAGGTGGATTGCCATGCTGGCCGTCACGTGCACCATCATCAAACCTTGGAACTTTCAAGCGAAGTGACGACGGAGCTGCAGCAAAGGCACTCCATCACGAGCCTCTGACCCGACGAAGC